TTGTGGGGTAGTTATTTTGTAATATCCTGAACATCGAAACAAGCTTCTGTTCTGTTGGCAGAAGGGGATAGTCATAGTCTTCTGACATGCCTGCTTGTGCTAACCTCACAACATGCCCCTGGAGGAGCCTGCTTCAAGGATAAAGCAGCTCCTCCACAGGAAGCGAAGAAAGTATGTGGCAGCCATGCTGCTCCTGCCAAAACACAGTTGTACTATACGTGGTCTGAACATCAACACTACAGTTGAGATCAGCACTGTTCCAGCTATGCATAAAGACTTTGCTCTGATGCAGCTTAATAAACCAAAGGTCGATACTGGTTTTTGTTTTGTTTTGTTTTGTTTTAAAAAAAGCTCCTATCCAAAAAACAAAAAAAAACCCCTACATACCCAATAAAAGTTTTTGGTGCAAAGAGTCTCACTGTCTGTAGGGCTTGGGTTACCCCCCCCCCCAAAAAAAAAAAAAAAAAGGGCCTCTTAAGGTATAGCTTTGCAGACTGCCATGTTATTTGGAAAAACTTCAGGTTGTTCATGCTCCAACAATGCTGCTACTTAAGTACCTGTAAGAGAATTTGATTGGGGTGGAGAGGAATGATTTCACGTTTTGTTTTGATGATGACATTTGCCATTCCTAAAACCACAACTGAATGGTTTCTTTTCTGATTTGTTTATATGCAAGTTAAGCAGTCTGCAGCTTAACTAAAGTCTGAGGGTGGTGGTTTTTTTTTTTTGGTTTTTTTTTTTTTTTTAATGTTTAGCAAAAGCACCTGGAGGCCTTCAGCCCACTGCAGTACTCACCTGGCTAAAACATTTGACACTGTGTAAAAGTGAGAGTAGACTGTGCAATGTAAAGTAAAGAATCAGCTTATTTCTTCTTGCAGGGGCGCAGTGCTAATTTCCATTTCTGCTATTTTGTGTATGTATGTTCCCTGTTTAGTATGGCTCATCAAGAGCATAGTACATTCCTTATGCTTGTGATAACTCAAAAGTATACTATTGTGCTTCTCCTACTCCTCCCACAAGCAGAAACTAACCACGCATCCCTGAACTGTTCCGTGAGGCTTGGCCATAAAGTTAACTTAACTTCCAGTACTTGGGACTTTACATGCAAGTAACGTACAGTCTTCTCAAGAGGTTGGAAAAAAAATGACAGCCTCAGCCCTATGCCCTCTTCTTACCTTGTGAAGCATAAGCTTTTTTTTGGAATTGGCATGTTAACTAACTTTTTGCCACTTTTACTACTTGGCAATTAAGAGCTGCTTCCAGCTTTTTTTTTTTTTTAATGGAGGTGGGAGGATCCCATCATGTAAGTTACAATTATAGGAGGAAGAAACAGCCATTTACACGTCCATGATTTTTCTCCATTAGTCTTATTTTCAGCCCAGTGAAAAATTGTTTCTCGTGTCACTTGTGAGCATTAAACATTTCTACTCCCAGCAGACAGAATCGCTTACTGGTAATAGGCTTGGTTTAGGTGGAGAGTAAGGCCACCTGTCTGCATCACGCAGTGCCGTGCGGTGCAGAGCTGCAAGCCGACACAAGCACAAGCCCTAGTGCTGTATCTTGCAGATGTACCAGCTTCTATATAGCAGCAACACAGCCAGGATGACGTCGTGCTGCAGGAAAATAAGACTTCTGTGCGCTCGAGGTGTGCTCTGCTGCTGGTGCAGTTCTGGGGTTAAGCTTGCATAGAGGCAGTTCTGGCCTCTGTGCCCATGGTATAGACGTGGCTCAAATAATAAGGAATGTCTGTTGCACTTAACTCACTACTATTGCACTTCCGTCCTGGACCTATACATGAATTTGACAGCCATACCTCCAATGGAAAATAGGGCCTGGCAGGAGGAAGAGCACCACGTCAAATGCTTGACGATGTTCCTCTGCTAACTCCCACTAGTGCAAGCCTTCAACTTGTCAGTTGTTTGTGGTGAAATGGAAAAAAAAAGACGCTGCATCTTGTTAAGACTTTAGGAAGAGATTAAGGAATTCCAAATTATATTTTTTAGAGTGCCAAAACAACCTCTGAAGTTTCACTCAATCAGGAAGTTTAAAAAGAATATATGCTATTTCCTGAATCGTTTTCCACAACGCTGTAACCTGGTCAAAGAGTGCAAGTACTCAGCATACTTTTCATACCAACAGTTAAGTTTTCCCTGACCTTTGTTGCCAAATACAACTAATAAAGTTTATTGAACTGCATTGGAAGCATGTGATTTTTAGTAGACAAATGAGGTATCCTTTATCTGAATACAGCATCAAGTAAAAAAATAAAAGCAAAGGGGATATTAAATATCAAAGATAAACTATTAGTTAAAATATTAACCCTAACAATAACTTAAGGTTTCACACACACAATTCACTGCCTTCAAAAGGCAGTAGCATGTAGTTACCAGGTTTTCACATTCTAGATTCATCTAGAAGAGTCAGTAAGTCAGCTTTGATGCTCTACTATTGTAGCATGCTCTTTCGGGCAAAGTAGATGCAGCATTTCTGAAAGGAGAGTTGTCGCTTTTCGCAAGAACTAATTCCAGTTCTTGAAAGTCTTGAAGTCTGGCAACATCCTTGTCCTTTTAAAGATGGAGAGGATAACAACAGATTACTTCTAAACACATCCAATTTTACTTTGTAAATAATTAGAATAGCTAAAGGAAGTAAAAACTAAAATTGTACAGTGTTCACGCCCACAAATATGAATAAATAATGCCAAAAATCCTGTCAGCATTTACTCTTTCCTTGAAAGCATCTTTTGTTTTTCCTCCCCAAGATCCTCATTATGCTTTGATTCTGCTTGCGTCTGTCATTTTACTGAGAGTTGTGACCAACAGATTTCATTTACAGAACTCCAGGTATTTTTAAACCAAAGCAGCATGTTCATTTGCTAATGGCATATCTTTAAATTACTCACATGCCAATTTGTGCATTTTCTCCCCCTACTATTTGGTCCTTTTAGACAAGCAGACGCTTAAGCAATAGATGGCAATTATGCTAAAAGCTCACTAATGTGTTATTTTTGATACATTTCCAAAAAAAAAAAAAAATCTGTAATCATTTACTTTAGGAGCTGAAATACTCTATGCCTAAGTTGACAAAAATATTTTTAAATACACTATGGTGAAGTTAGAAGAAGAGAAGTCCAATATTCTTTTGAATTTCTGAACTTAAATCAGGTTTGGTTTTGTTTTTTTAAAAACACAACACTATGTTTTGCTGATCTTTCTACAGAAAGATCTTCTTCGATGTCTGCAAAGCACAATGTCAAATTAATCTGCAATTTGAAAACTCTTACCTTTCTTACCAGTGTATTAGGCAATTTCCTGATCTTCTCTACTTGTTCTGGATTTACACCCAATTCACAGCAACTCACTCTGAGCAGATCTTGATAGGTCAGTTCTTGTCTGTCTAGTTCAATTTCAATGAAGTCGTTGTCTCTGAGGTTCTGGACTCTTACCTTAAGCACAAGTTCTAATTGAAAAAAAGATTAAAAGTTTTTCCCTCAAAAAAACCAAAACCATAACCTAATGCTAAACTATCTACAGTTATCCATCGAATTCAGGTTTTGTAGGTCAATATCCATTATCCAACTGCGCAATTCATGGAAGGTTTTATTTCAATAGCAGCTGGTGGTTGAGACAGAATGGAAATGCACAGGGGAAGCATGTTTACAGTGTTAAAAAAAAAATCTGATCCATCTAGTTATAAAGTCAAGTTGCTACCAAACTATCAGAGATGCACTTTATGCTATGTATATTTTGCAAAATTTGGATTTTATGTTGCTTGGGTATGAAGAGCGATCTTTCCATGAGAAGAAAAAAAAAAATAGACCTTACAAAGGGTTACTATGTTTAAAATACTGCCTAACCAATTATTTTACTTAGGAGAGCAGAAAAAAAAAAAAAGTCCTAGGTATCATTTTGTTCTTTTTAGCCAAAAATCAACCTCTCTGCCTTCATTCCAAATTAGTCTGAAAGCCAAAGGAATCATTTTTAACTTCAGCTTTCAACTAGTAACTAAAATACAATGTATAAGAGAAGGTTAGAAAATTACACTTCATTACCTTGCATGTTATATGGGAAAGTTCCAGTAAAGAAAAAAGGCTGAAACGTTGGCGCAGGACCAGTAGGTGAATCGTTTGTTTGCTGAGGTATAGCCTGTTTCGATGCTACTGGAGAAAACAGACCTCTATTATGAGACAAGGACGGTTGACAAATAGAGCCGTTCCGTACATTAGGCTTTATGCGTTTTGGTGCTGTGACAGTCGCCGAAGGTGCGGGCAGCTGTTGTGCAGTGTCTAATGCAGGAAAATCATCGTCACCGTTCAGTGGTGTAGGTGTGCAAATGCTTTCAACCTGAGTTGCTGATGAACAAGGACTAGTTTCGCACTGGGAAACGGAAGAGATGGAAGCACTTTCATTCTGGGATTCCGTCCAGTTGTCTGGAATGCTTTCTTTAGCGTAAACGTAAGGGAATGGTGGATTGGCCAAATAGTTTGCAACAATTGGCAAATTTAAATCTTTCACTTCTTGACGTTCATTTTCTTCCTCTATTAATGCAGTTCAAAAAGGGAGGGACAAGGAGTGGAGAGAAAGAAAACAATCACACATGTTATTAGATAGATCTTTCTCATCTTGAGGTAAAGTTTTCTTAGTGCGTCTTAAAACTACAGCATCTCATTTGGAGATAATCATAAGGATGATACTAATTTATCATAAGGATATGGCAGTTGTAAGGCAAGTAAGCATAAAATGAAAGAAAAAATTAGGAATTTTTACAGTGTATTGTGGCTTTTTAAAAACAAAGCAGAAGGGAAAAAAAAAACCCCACATTTAAAGCAATGTTTTTTCTAGCACTGTTATTTCAACATTTTCAAAAAAACCGACCAGTAGTTCTAGGCTAAATCTCATTTTGTAATGCTTTTAGTACACTGCTATGTATAGTTTATTATGATCCATGCCAACAAATTAAACAGAATTATTTATTTGGGTTAGTGACTATTTGGTAAGACCAACCTCCCTCTCCTCTTGCTTAAAGTACTGCAATAATTAAATTAAATTCTTGCCTGACTGAGAATTGTAGGACATTTATACTAATGTCAAGGCAGTTCAGAAAGATCTGGTCAACAGCTCTACACTCCCAGAGTAAAAACCATTTAGAAGAACTTAAGTAATAAGTGTTTATTCTACAGCAAACATGTGAAAGCTTAATAACTAGACAGATACATAAGGCTACAACGAACAAGGTATTCGTTCACTCAGACTCGTCAGTTTGGATGTTTAAAACACACAGAACTCAAGTCATTTGCCCTGAAAGAAACTGAAGAAGTGAGCACCTTGCTCAAAAAAAAAATCCCAAAATTGTTGTGCAAAGAACGTGCCATTCCTTCAGCCCCAAAATTGTGCAAAGAACGTGCCATTCCTTCAGTTGTGACTGCTGTAACCTTGGTCGTGATTTAGCTGCTACTTCCTTTAAGATAACAGCGTACCATTACCGTAAGATCGTATCATTGGAGAGAGTTATTCACACCAAAGCACGATTAGCAGAAGACAAACACCAAGATTTGTAAAGGTGAAACACTAAACAATCTGGAGTCCAAGGCAGAGATACCGATGGAAACAGGTTACCCGTGGTGTTCAAGAGCGGCGCAGACGCAAAGTTTAACGTGAAATACATCAGTGGGACTTATTACAGTCGGGTTTACAGACAGAACCACGAAGCAAAAAATTAGTATTACAGCAAGTCACAGCGTAACAAAATTCTCAGAAGCCATCACTTCTGAAATTCAGCAGTTGCTTTAACTGTAAGATTTCTTATGGTCAAGCAACGGCCAAGTTTTACAAACGTGAACGCGTCCAACTGCGGCCTAGGGGCTAGCTCTGTTTAGTCAGCGGAAACATGACTGCAGCAGCACCTTTCCCAAGCGTACAACTCTTCAACCTCTTGACGACAAGGCTCAGAATACTTACACTTTCTAACCGAAGCCCTCAAGACCTATTCGCAGGAGCATGGAATAGAAGTCAGGGCTATCTAACTAGATGCTGACAAAACTTTGACCGGCATAATCTAGTGGCCGAGATAAAAGCATTAAATCCTAGAGGAGTTTTTAAAAAAAAAAAAAAAAAACAGGCACGGTACCTCCCAAAATCTTCCTGATGTCCGGTTTCGACGTCAGCTGGGCAGGCAGCTCTCCCGCGGCCGTGAGGATGGCCCTGTCGGCGCCGGCCTCCAGCAGGCAGGACACCACGCGGGCATGGTTCCGCTTGCAGGCCCAGTGCAGGCACGTCCTGCGGGGAAGCAAACCCGGGGCCGGAGCTGCACCCCTCCGACCTCTCGCCCCGAGGCCCGTTCTCACGCGCCCGAAATAACCTGCCTGAAGTCAAAGCAACTGGGAGTAAAGGTCCTTCGTTAAGTGATGTTTTTCAAGTTACGACGCGGTTACGTATGAAGCCCTTGGGGCGAGGCCCTTTGCCGCCACGCAGCACCGCGCGGGGCCAACAGCGACTCTTCGCCGCTGCCGCTAAGAGCCGCGAGCCAGCGACTTTTATTAAAAAGCGGTCCTCGAGCCAACGCGCAGGGCCAGGTAGAAACACGACGGCCTCCTTTCTCTACGATCCTCTTTAGCAGTAAATCTCAAAGCCTTTTGAGGTTAAGCCTTTCCCTGTAAACAGGCAAAACCAAGGGCTGCGTCCTGAGAGAAGATCCTCGGCGGGCGCAGCTGTGTTTGACTGGGGGGGGGGAGCTCCACCGCACACCTC